TATTATCTATGGGTCTTCGAAGGCGACAGCAAACAACAAAATTGTGAGTCAGGCAGGAAGCGTCGGCAGAAAAATGATTGCGTTTTTTCTCCCAGACGTTTTCACTACACGATCCCACTTGATGAGCAAAAGATAGTTAACGCTGAGCTGGTACACCGCCATCTATTTGAAAAGTTAGGAAAATAAGACTAAGAAATCGCATCATCATAATTTTATCCAAATCGTTAGTGCTGTTTCCGAGGAAACAATTCCATGTATAACTGCCGACATAAGTCGTGAGCACACTTTTTATTGGTCGATACGACGTTGACCACGCTGACGTTCAACGTGATTGGTTCATCAGTCGATTCTCGTCTATTGGTTTCGAACGTATCATTTGGCTTCCGTACACTTCAGAGCAATAATTTTAATGATCTTTTTTAATATGTTTATTTTCGTTAATTGTTTTTGTTAGCTCATTGTTAATTGTTGTTTGTGTATTTCTTGTTATTAATTGTTTTTGTTATTTCTTGTTTTTAATTATTTTTGTTGTTATAATTTGAGTGTTCAGATTTTGGTCTAAACATGCAGAGAAGGAAGAATTCGGTGTTAAATAGACAATCCCGACAAATTTTCTATTCAGTGTTTAGTTACATGAAAAAATTACGTACTGCGAAAAACATCATAGACGTATATAAACAGACTGCTGAGGCGACTAATGTCTCAGTAGCTACTGTACGGCGCAACGCAACACTAGATTTTATGGAAGGCATATCACCTCTTCCTTCTTCTTAATAAAATAATCAATTCTAACCACCAGGTATACATTAAATACTTTATAGTAGATAATAAATAAACGGACACGAATATCTGGAACATTTACTGGTAATCAAAGTAAAAGTTGATGTGTTCGAGTAAACATTTTCATAAAAGTCGCTGAAAATATTTAATTACGAATTGAAATAATAAAGGTATCCAATAATTTTTCCCGACAGTGTACCTACCTCCCACCACAGTTTATCTGTGCTCACCACTCGTGTCGGCAACTATACACAAAACCAATCAAAATATGTACCAATTACAGAAACGTCAATCTGACAAATCAAAGAGCTCGTTCTATCTACGCGCTCTATCCCCATTTATTGGACAAATGATATTTCCACTGTTCCCGTTTAGCTGGAGACTATTATCGATAAAACCGTAAAAAATAGTTTTATTTGATGTTTATCATTTGATTCAACACACGAACTCATTGTGCTCAGTTAAAAATGCTTCAATTTAAAATTTCACTAACTCATTTTATTAAATTAAAGTTTTTTGCAGTAAGATACCGTTACAGCCTATTAAAGTTGAGTGATTTTCCATAGTTGCCAAGCTTGGCAAGCGCGGTTGCCAATCAACCGCAGTTTTTTTTTTTATTTTAAGTCGTTATTGGGAAGATGCTGCTACCCATCTAATGTTTTGTTCCCCTCCGTCGCGTCCTACGACACCCACGGGATGATATTAAAACAAACTTTACGATCCCTCGGTTTTAGAGCCTTGTGGAATATTCAGATACGATGTCAGGAGAGCCAACGGTGTGACTATGGTCCCTTGGGAGAAAGGTAAAGCCCTAATCCAGAATTTTTATACAATAAGAAACGACCAACATTTATATAAAATCAGAATATGCTATAAAGTTTTTCGCGTCCCTAAACACAAAACTTCGGCTTTCCGAGGTAGTTTTAAGTTTATGGCAAGTGTTAGAATGATCTCCCACCACCTTTATGCACTATGACAAGTAAATCCAGTTTTAAAATGAATTATAGACGTCACTTACGAAGCGAACAATTACTGTCATAATCGAATAATTTTTACTAAATTGCAGGGCCGCCCTGTAATTAAAATAAGCAAGCCCAAATAAGTTAGACTCGTTAAAATAGATATTATTTTATACTCTGCTTCTCACTCGTAGCTATATTGTTGCAATAATTATTAAAAATAAAAATTTTATTGAAAGAAAAAGATAATCAAAAATATTTCTTTAATTACTAATTTGAACTGGCTAACACTCGGCAATCCACGGTATGTACCCTAATATGAACAGTTGTTATTAAATGTAATATAAGCAGGGATGCGCGCGCACTGTATGTAATCTTCATTTGTTTGGCGCTGGCAGAATAACAGCGTTGTAGGCAACTGCAACTTGTATGCTGAGCTAGAGCCCATTCACTACTACACTATGTCATTTTGGATATTTCTGTGTGTACTACTCACTATTACTTTGTTGGTGGTAATGAATAAATATTTTTATATAGGGTTACTGGTAACTCGACGTATTCCCGCCAAGGCGTGATAGTTGGGGTCATAACCTATCAAATGAACCATAAAATGCATTATGCAAATGTGGACCAATTTTGAGATATTTAGGTTTAATTATTTTTTTCAAAAATCTCAAAAGTCTGGTGTCAAAAATTTCTAAAAAAAAAACTTACAGCTGTATTATTTTCGTTTTATTATTTTTACTTAATAAAAACCTGGATACTTATTTATCAATACTACAGTGTATTTGTTTTTGTTTGTGTGTTTTCTGTACTATTTAAGTTACAAGCTAAATTGATACTTCGTTGGGTAGCTAGATAAGTAGGGATGTTTTTAACATGATTTGCACAATAATTGGTCACATACAATTATTTTTCACAAAATCATTTTTATTTCTAATTACTTATCTCCTGTTTGGAAAAAGTTGTACTTTTAGTAGCGTTACTTCGAAAATGATGAGACTTTTTGCACACTGTAGTATTGATAAATAAGTATCCAGGTTTTTCATTAAGTAAAAATAATAAAATGAAAATTAATACAGCTGTAGTTTTTTTTTTAGAAATTTTTGACGCCAGACTTTTGGGATTTTTGAAAAAAATAATTTAACCTAAATATCTCGAAATTGGTCCATATTTGCATAATGCATTTTATGGTTTATTTGATAGGTTATGACCCCAACTATCACGCCTTGCCGGGAATACGTCGAGTTACCAGTAACCCTGTATACTTTAATAAAGTTTTTGAACTTTGTGCAGGTCGAATTTTGTATATTTTCTGGGATTTTGTTGCAAAAGTGTCTACATCGCCCCAAGAATGAATTACTGACTCGGTGAAGTCTAGTAACTGGTACTACTAGCTTGTGTCTGTTCCTAGTAATTACAGTATGAATATCGCTTAGATTATTGATAGGTCTTCGCGGTCTGAGCACGGTAAGACCTATCAATAACCTAAGGAATATCGCTTATTTTTGTAAAACTACTTTTATTTTTGTGTACGTACATTACATTTTCATAAAAATATTGAGGGGCCACATTTAATATATTAATTTCCTTAAATTTTTGTTTGAGCGACTCTTTAGGTTTTAAATCATAGATTGCTCTAATATGGCCATTTTCTGTAAAACAAATATAATTTCAGCGTTAGTCGCGTATCCCCGTTGCAAAATACCATACGACATTATGCTATGCTATATAGCTAAAGTAAACTAGTCTAGCTGTTCCAACACTGGTAAGAGTTTTAATCTTTTTTACAGCATATGCTGCAGAACTAAGTCTACTAGCAAATTTTGATATATTGGGGACCCCATTGAAGCTTTGCGTCTAGTGTGATTACGACTCAGCTCCTCCCCATTTAAAATTACATTATCGGAGTAACAAATTTCATACATTTAGTTTTAGTGCCATTTAAATGCAAATTATTAACACTAAACCAATTTACTAACTTAGATATAGCGTTATTTACTTCGTCATAATTTAGTATCTGTCGTTTTAATTTGATAATTAATGAAGTGTCTTTAGCAAATAATACTATATCATGGTTATCGCCTACTATGTAAGGTAAGTCATTAATATATACAAGAAACAGAAAGGGCCGAGAATTGAGCCCTGAGGCACTCCCATTTTTACTATCGATCCGGAAGAACTCATACTATTAATGACAACTTTTTGCATTCTATTACTTAAATATGAAATAATTAATTTAAGAGCATCACTTCTTACACCATTACACTTCTACACGAGCTAATATAACTACAAGCTGTGAGGCATGCCAATTTAGTTTTCAAAACAGTAGTCAACTCCTGTTCAGCAATTAACTTTCATAGGCTGTAATGGATGAATGAATAGATTTTTGTATTTATGTATGTACAAAATAATAACAAAAGACAACTACACAAATATTTTAAGTTAATACGAAAACAAAAACATTTCCATTCTACTAAATTTAAACGGACAGCTGTTAACAGCAACTGGCAGTTGAAAATTAAAAAAAATTGTATATGAATTGGACAAATTCTCTCTTGTCAATGGAACTTAACAAAAAACCTGACATTTCAACAAATTTGGGAATTGTAAACTTTAGTTCATTGTACTCGTATATTCATTCTTTCCAACGTATCAAAACAACATAATATAATCATAATTTTTATTTATTAAATTCTTATTGGTTGTTTAACAGCATTTACTTTTTTTTGTTTTTATATTATTGTAGTATAACATTTCATTAAATACATTATAAATTGTGACTTGTGATAAGTATTTGGGATATTTTAATGTACCCAATAACAACAAGTGACAACAAGCCGCAACACTGCCTTGTTACGGTTTGTTTGTTGCCTTTTTGCATATATATTTTTTTAAATACTAGCAACGCTATAAACATTACTAATGTTAACCATTCCTGGTAAGTTTAAAATGCTTGTGTTAGGAGTGGTTCACGACAGTAATCGATTAGCGGAATCGCGTACTAATAGTTTATTTGCCACACATATCAATTAATAAAAATGGAGAAATTAGTTTCGGAACATAGGGAACAAGGAATCGAGATGCAAAGTCAATAGTTTGTGTAATGCATTCAAATATCGGGAAAAAATACGTTTTTAACAATTTTAAAACCTTTATAGACTCATCGTATTTGTAAGGGGTTGATATTTTATTTTATTTTATGTAGAATCAATTTGTTTTGTTGTTAATATAATAAGTTACTTAGTTTGAGTTCGCTACCTTCAGGCCAGTTGTCATAAACGTGTACCGCGATGTCGCCGGCCGAGTCCACGGGGCTGAAGATGAACTCTTTCGTTTTGCCAGACACCAGGATCAGCCGCAGGTTTATCTGTAAAAAATTAAAAAAGTATTAAATGTGTGTATATAGGTGTGAGGTCTTTTTTCTAAGATAAAAGAACCGTACACCATTTGTGTAAGGTTCTTTGATCTTAGAAAAAAGTGACAAGAGGGCTAGTTCTTTACCCGCTAAAGATTAAGTACAATCATTGAGGTGGAGGTAGGAAACTATAGAGATAACTAATGCTTAATTTGAGTAGCGATAATCAACGATTATAAGTAATGTCGAAGTTGTTTTTTCTTCCTACTAGTGTTTTTTCTAAATTTAAAAATAGAATTCTTTTTGCCGACTATTCATAAACAATGTAACTACTGTAATGTAGATGGCGGTACGTAGTAATCAAATTAGCTAATAGATGGCACTACCATTATATTACAAAATACAATGCCCATTAAAATACGATTTATTTATAATGTGAACGCGTTTTTAATTTACATAATATGTATATAAAATATTAAAAAACTTGCAAGTTATCATGACAATGTTCACATATATGAACGTTTGGAGAAACTAAGAGTACCTAATGAAATGCCTATTTTTATATGCTGCCCCAGCCCAGATTCAATTTCGATTGTTATCAGCTATGAGATACAATTTATTATAAAACATTTTTTCTGGTTATTAATGTCCAAAATATTAATATAATATATTACATTAAACTTATTTGTACATAAAAATATTTGAAAATAAATAAGAGGTTATTTTTGTATTATATTTTTTTATTTGAAAGAAAAATTTATTGAGTAGCGAATTATTAATTAATAAAAACAAATAACGCGACCCTGCCAGGATTCGAACCTGGAATCTTCTGATCCGTAGTCAGACGCGTTATCCGTTGCGCCACAGGGCCTTGTTCAAGAAGCGTAAAATTTTATCTAATATTATGTTAAACTGTACATATTTATTCTGATAATATATAACATCAACAACATGTTTCACACAAGCTTTAACGTAGTAAATATAGGCATTTGGTGGCAAAATGGTTGAACGCGCATTTACTTACGTTGAACATAGATAAAACAAAATTAATAGACTTTTCTATTCGAAACACAAAAAATTCAACAACAAACTTATTACAAATCGCTGTTAAGCCTCCCCTTGATATAAGAAATAGTACAGTCAATAATGACCTACACTATATAAAAAAGTGACATCTATAAAATATCTTGGAATTATAATTGATAATTAAAGCTTTCATTGAACACCTGCCAAACAGAGTCCGTAAACGTATCTACATTTTTAAACAATTACGTCAATCTGCAGATTCAGAAAACACGAAGATGGTTTATATGGCATTGTGTCAATCTATTTTATCTTATTGCAAATCCACTTGGGGTGGTGCGACTAAAAGTAATTTTATACAACTTGAACGGGCACAAACGCTGTTTTAAAAGTATGTTGTTTTAAACCGAGTATGTTTTCTACAGACCAACTTTACGACTATTGCCAAGTACTAACAGTTAGACAATTCATTTTAACCACCGCTCTCAAACAACATGCCTCAACCAAATATATCCCTGAATGGACACGACGTAACCAACTAGTTGCAAGGTCTACTCAAGTTAAAACTGCATTTAGTCACAGATTCTTCATATTCCTTGACCCCTATTTCTACATACATGTAATAAATTGCATAAAACCTTATCCCTCTTTTCTCGAAATCAATATGAGTGACAAAACATTATTCTGAAGTGGCTCCTTAAGCAAACCTATGCAAAAACAGAAAGTCTTTTAGTGGTTGTCGTGTAAAATACACACACACACACACACACCTCGTGTGTATATGACACACACACACACGCACACCACACGCATACGACACGCACACGCACACGCACACGCACATGCACACGCACAAACACGCACACGCAACGCACACGCACACGCACACGCACACGCACACGCACGCACGCTTTTTTAAGTTTTCTTAACCATAACCAATTATTTCAATTAGGTATGACAAATAAGGAAATAGAATTAATATTTATGTGTTAATGTTTTAGATATATATAGCATTCCTCGTAGAGTTGGAGACCTGGTGACCTGTAATACGGGTATCTTACCCACCATAGGCACCAGCGATCCATGGGCAAAGTTGTTTTGTACTACTTTTATGCTACTTATAACTCTAAATGTAACTTTGTTTGTGGTGAGAAATAAACGTTATTATTATATTATTATTATTATTTTCAAAAATCCGCTTTTAGTCATACGTTAAGAGTAGGATTTAGTATTTTTGATAGCTTTCTCAGCCAGAATTCAATCTGTCAAATATCAACATGTGAGTTTCGACATTAGGAAGAAAGTTTTGTTATATTCCTCCTTAACACCCTCAATGTTGCTTTTTTACTGTAACCGTGTACTCACATAATTAGTTTCAAAATTAATACCAAAATAATATTTTGGAGATCTATATTATATCGAGTGGCAGCCTCGGACCGGTAGACAAAGTGTAAGGTGTCCCCCCATAAGATGTAGTGACGACCTGGTAAGACATGCAGGAAGTCGATGGATGCATGTGGCTCAGGACCGTGCTTTGTGACATTCCGTGGAGGAGGCCTACGTTCATCAGTGGACTTGTGAAGGGCTGTAATGAAATTAATGATGATGATGATGATGATATTTTATTACCTTCAAAAAGTTTTATCACAACATTTATAACAATAGCTGGGCATGAGCCCACTGACGTTTTTGGGAGTTTGTCCTAATATTTTTGTCATATTGTTACGCACCTTACTTCGCCAAGTAAATAACCTATTAAGAATTTTATACTTTTAAAAGGTAAGAAAAAATGTGTAAGATAAAGCAAAAAGGTTGCTTTCACGTAGCTTAAGATTATTTTAGCATGCGACGATAACATAGTTCACAATTTAAAGTTGAGGTTAGCATGTTTAGCTTTCATACGGTAAAAATAGACTGCGTTGTTGTTCGTTCGTTTCGGCGCAGACGAGTGCTAAGGCACGCTTCGGCCTTGTGGCGTTTTTAATGGCCATTTTTAATTTTTGCGGCTATCGCGGGAGGCTTTCGCCATCGTTCATTGTACATGCGGAAATTTTTGATTGGTTTACATTTTATCTGTGAAATATTAGATATTTCTTCTCGTAGATTAATACAAAATAGAAGATACCAAATTATGAGACTGACTCTGACACTATATAAAACTATTTCCAAATTCAAAACCGTGCTTCTGAACCCGTGATACTCGTTTTTACTCGTTTCGTGCGTAGAACGTGAAGGTTATAGTTTTTTTTTTATAGAATAATAGAATCTAACGAGCTCACACTTCACCCGATGTTAAGTGGATCTGTGGGCCATTGACATCTACATTTGTCCTCGATTAAAAATCTAAATCGGAATCAAGATGGTCGAGCCAAATCATTCGTACACGACGTATTTAATTTAATGCCTTTAAAGGAGCAATTTTTGAATATATATATATATAAATATATATATATATACATAATCGGAATCTCGGAAACGGCTCCAACGATTTTCATGAAATTTAGTATGCAGGGGGTTTTGGGGGCAATAAATCGATCTAGCTAGGATTCATTTTTCTGAAATTTCGCTTTATCCGTGTTTTCAGGCAATAAAAAACTGCTACAATATCATTAGAATACGAAAGTAAATTTTTACGGGTTATAACAACTCAAATGAGAAATGGTCGGTCGCGAAATCGTGGTACCGTGGTTCGAGTCCATCTTCAGTCCGACTTTTTTTTCCTTTTTTTTCATCTTCTCTTCTTTTGTGAGAAAATCTATTAATTCAAGCCCTTTTTAGTATTTTTATTATTTATTTAAATAACCAGTTCAGTTTTTCTTATTATGTCGGTAAGATCGATAAAAATTATTCATATTTCATCAGTATGTATGTTGTATCTAAATATAAATTACAAAAAATACGATTTCCAAAAAAAAACCGAGCAAAGTTCGGTCATCCAGGTACTAAATACATTTAAGACTCGTTTCCGTAAATAACCTCTTAATCTTTAAACGCATTAATACTCGACGCATCGATAATTATTTTAATAAATAATATTGCTTTGTACAAAAATACATAGGTCAACAACACGCTGCCCACGGGCTGTCGATAGCAACAAATGCCCTGGAAACTTATCAAGCGATCTGTGAACGTTTTAACAAACAACGTCACTTCCAGTTATTGTTTTTGTTATTTCCTGCGATGGCAAAGCTCTTGTGGTTCCGTTTCAATTTTATTTGCCATGTAGGTTATCAACGGTCTTTCGGTTATTTATTTGCGCGCGTAGGCTTGACGTGCTAATTCCCGTTATCAAATAATGCATTCCACTATTCGTGTTGCAAATAAATTTAGGATTTAAACTAAGTAGGGAATACTATGTCGCTTATACTTTACCAAATATTTGTCTATTTAGAACAGAGATCAGGTTGTGAAGGGCGGCGTACCACTGGCCGAAATGAGTGGTTGAGGCACGTAGCGGACCCAATGGACGCAGGTGACTCCCAGATGATGTCATGTAGCAATTTGTGGAGGAGACTTGTGTTCAGCAGAGGACTGGGCTGTAATGATGAATAACGATACTGGTTCTTTTTTCTATAAAACTTGAACCCCGCAGAACTTTTTCCTACACCGTTAACACATTTTTATACAAATAAACATCCGAAACCGGAACAATAATTTATAGAACCTACAAATAATTATTCCTTGTGGGGTTCGAACTCGCGACGCTGTAGCATGGGTTTAGAATTATTGGACCTGTAGCTGTAGCTGTATGAACATATGTAACTCTGTTCTGAACCTGTCTGGTTGGAATCCAGGTTGGTTTCGTTTACACGTTTGATGTACAATTTCATTGTATTGTGTAAATGTATCACATTCGATTATAATCCGGCGTCAAACTAACATTAAATATCCTTTCTTTTTCATTTAAACCTGAGTAACCTGATTGTAAGTCCATGAACACCTGTTGCAAACAAAGATCGCCACCGAACCACAGATGCGTTATCACCCCT